TATTCTCAACCCACAGCACCCCCTCCTCCCTCCCTCCCTCCCTTCCTCTCTCCCTCCCTCCCTCCCTTCTTCTTCTTCTCTCTCTCTCTCTCTCTCTCTCTCTCTCTCTCTCTCTCTCTCTCTCTCTGTCTTGCTGTCTTTCTGTTTGTTTGAGCTGGGGTCTCTCTATATTGCCAAGATGGACTCCATTGTGGGGTGTCCTGCCATGCTAGTCTCTAAAACTTTCAGCATGAAAAAAGACAAGCACATATCACCCCCCAATCAATACTTGATTTTTACATTCTTGAATCTGTGGCCGGTCTTACCCTACCCCTCCCTGTCCGCATCCCTTTCCGTAGCACACATTTCTGCAAACCTGACACCACATCATTTTGTCGGTCTGAATGTAAATATTTGCACACACATCTCTGAGAGGTAAGAACTATTTTAGAACCTATGCTCACAATAGCTGCACAAGAATAAATATTAGCCTTGTGCCCAGCTGACCCATCCCCCCATCTCTCATGCCTTTGCTTCGGATTTAGGGGACACTGGGCAGCGTGCCCTGAGCTGGTCCCTGTGGCCTGGGTTTTGCCTGGTTGCAGCCTATTGGTACATGGATGTCATCCTGTTGTTCTGTCCCCGTGCATTCTGGGACTTCACGGCTCTGTGAAGGGCTCCACTGGGTTCAGGGTTGCTGTTTGGATCAGAGATGTCACAGGGATCGTGAGCAAACACCCGCACTTGGTCCCAGCCCGCTCTCCCTCAGGACATCAGCCTGAAGGCGAAGCAGGGCACAGCTGCTAACTTTCAGCATCACACGTGGTGGTGTCCCAGTGTCCATCAGCCAGGGCGGGCTGCCAGGGACACTGCCCTCCTCACTGCCGAGCTGCTGAGCTCTGTTCACACGGCAAAGGCAGGAGCGTGCTCTGTCTCCTGCCCCAGCGTGGTGCAGGCTCTTCAGGCTGCAGGGTTAGGATACAGGCCCTCAGTCCCTACCAGCTGCACTCAACCTGGGCATCCTTGGGGTCCTCTCCTTTCCTCTAGGAGCTGGAAAATATTCCAGGTGCAGGAAAGTCCCATGAACAGCATGCAGATCGTCGGCTCTGGGTCAGACCTGCTGCTTCTGCCCCGCCATTCGGTCCCCACCTAGTGTGTGCTCCGCATTTGTCACTGCTGTCCTCCAAGTCGGCCACCCTCTTCTCTGATCCCTCTGACGGTCGGCTTCAGACATCCTGCTTCCTAACATGGAGGACACCACCTGCGGAGGGGGGCTCAGCGTGGCCTGATGGCATAGGACAGAAACATAGAGAAGATGACCCGGGTCTGGCTTTGTGGGACCAATTCTCTCACTTGTGGAAACAGGCACAGCTGTCTCTCCCTCCTGGGACTTGGTCAGTGCTTATGGCACGGGTGCCCAGTAGCCTCGTGACCCAGCTGCCCCAGACCCCGGGCGGCGGCTGTAGGACTCCACCATCCCTTGAGAATCACAGCCTCGCCCCCATGCAGAGGCTCCAGTCCCTGGATGGTCAGGTCCAGTGGCATCGAGAAGCAGTGCTGTTAGCACTGAGTAGGAAACTCCACGGATTCCAAGACACAAACACTTTGGTGGCAGGGGACCCGGATGGTCCCTCAGCTGCAGGGACGGCAAAGATGCAGTGAGCACAAGGGCCCTGGCCTATGCCTGATGGGACCATGGAGGGGGAGGATCCCAGGAAAATGGTTTAAAGATGCCACCCTGATTTGTACCCCCTCACTGTACTACCCACGAGTGTCCAGAGCATGGCCCATTGGGCCCTCCCACCTCTGCTGCCAGAGCACATGGGTTTTGTCACTGGCTTGAACATCATGAAGCTTGTGGCTGGAAGCTGGGCTGTAGCCCCTGAGACTCAGCCCCTTGCAAGCATTGCACCCCGCACCCCACATCCCTGTAGGGACAGACCCTGTGCTCTCAGGGGAAACGGTGACCCAGGGCCCCCAGGTCCTCTTTTGTTGGCTAAGCTTCAGGCCAGGCATGCACTGTGGGTCCCACTGTGCAGGTGTCCGAGTGGGCACAGGTTTCTGGGTGAAATCTTCATGCGCATGTGCACCTGTGCATGGTACCCACACAGACCCGTGTGCGTCTACTCTGTTTCTGTCTGCACGTGTGTGTATGTGTATGTGTGCCTCCATGTGTATGGACACCTGTGTGTGCAGCTCTGTGCATGAGCACGCAATATCCCCTGGGCCTTGGAACATTGGGCTGGGCTTCCTGGGTCCCAGGTAACCAAGAGCCCATGCAGGGACCGCATGATAAAGCTGGAGCCCATGATGGACCAGCTGTGGACCGGAGCTCAGAGCTGTGGCCATGTTATGTCTGCCCTGGGCCAGTGGGTGCTGGGCTGGATGGAGGGCCTGCTGGGGTAAGATGAAGCTGGACCAGTCCTCTGCTGTGGTCAGATCTGAACCAGACACACCAGTCCCCAGGCCTCTGCCACCACAGGCTGAGCTCTTGGTCTTCTCCATGCACACGCACTCCCTGGATGCTCCCTGGACACAGGACCCTCCTGGGCTGCAGGCTGGGCCACCAGCACAGAACTGCGACACCTGCAGTCAGAGCAGGAGGCTGCCCAGGGGCCGTAGAGCCACAGAGGACTCAACAATAATCTGTGACCACAGCCATGTGACAGCCCTGGGGGACCCCCAGCACCCCTACCTCCTGAGCTCCTGGCTCCTGCTTTGAGAGAAGTCTGGACCCCTTGTTCTGGCTGCCGCTGCCCTCTGCCCTGCTCACTTCTGCCCTGCAAAGCCCAGACCTCTTCCACAGTGACGATGTTAAGGGGGTCAGAAACTTTGCCACCAGCTTCCAGCTCATCCCTAAACACACCTTTTGTTTACAAACGCCAGGACAGACTATCCCTCACAGCGCACCGAGAGAGGCCCTGGTTTTGGAAAAAATGATCATTTTATTGGCCAGTGGCCCAACACTTCCAAACACGGACAACCAGGGGAAGCATGTGGATGAGGGTGTGTGGCCTGCTCAGGCCGGATGCTGGAAAGCAGTGGACATTTGCAGATCGCCGCAGACAGACTGGAAGCTCACTGGACATCATGGCCCGCCCCACCCCACCCCAAACGTTCCTAACACGGTGGCCATAAGCACAACTGAGGAGCACCCAGCCTCTCTGCAGGAGCCCTCTCCCCGAGCCCACGGAGCAGCTTGTGCCTGGGCCCCTGAGAAGCCTGGTCAGGGCTGTTGGTGTCCTTGTAATCAGTCACTCCAACATCATGGCCGAGCCCTTCAAAGAAGCCTGGAAACTGAGTTCTCTGAGGGCACCAAAGGGCCCAGCCAGGGCTGAGAAGCGCTTGACCAGCGCTGTGTCTGCCACAGGATGGAGCTTGTCCCAGGGGGGATGCTCCACAGACTTTCCTGAGGCATGAAATGGCCAAGACCTGACCAGATTGGCCTGGAGGGTGCTGAGCAGGGAGACCAGACAAGTGGCACTTTGGGAGCCACTGCTGTGAGCCACAGGAGTGGGGAGAGAGGGACACCTGGGGGTTGAGGCCGAGTGGCCTCCCCTGCCACCCACTCTGCTGTTAATGTTGGGAAAGGACCCAGAGAGCCGGGGGCCAGAGGGACGGAACTGAGAAGAGGCTGCTCCCCAGGGGCTATGGCCCACCTGAGCTGACAAGTGGCACCTTTGGAGGCCCCAGGAGCAGCTGTCCCCCCAGGCCCAAATGCTGGAGTTTCCTCCCAAACAAACATGATCAAAGCAGGAGCTTGGGCAAAGAAATATGAGCCCCAGCGGCAGCAGGGAAGGTAATTTCTCACTGTTTACCACACACGGAGCCCCGTTCCCGTCTGCCTGTGGCCCGTGGTGTGTGAAGGACCCTCGCCAGTAGAGCAGGGTTCTGACCCCCTGCTCCCAGCCTGCTCAGGGCCCACCACTCAGGGACCCTGTGGCCTGAACTCTGCGTGCAGGATGTCCCTATGGCCACCTTAGAGGCGGCCAGCGGAGGGTCAGTCACGCCCAGCGATTGACAGACAGATGACATCCCCCTCCCCAGCAGCCTTCTCCCCAGAGCCACACTGTCATGCCGAGGCTCCTGAGGTAGCAGGATTCTGCTGAGAGACTACGTAGGGCTCAAAGTGGGAATGTGCCAGCCAGATGGGGACAGCTGGCTGCCTCCCTGCTAGTATGGCACAGCGCAGAGACCCTGCCCAGCTCCTGCCCTGTGACCCTCTGCCTTCTTTACCCACCCTGGCCGCAGGAAACTATACCCTCCAGGTCGCCCAAGTGCTAGAGCCAGGATATGCTCCAGAAAGCTTGTTCTGCCTCGGCTTCCTTGTAGACACCCTCCACCAACCTCAGGGCCCCTGCCTGACTGGCCTCCCTCCCGCGCTGACCCCCATCTTGCCAGGCACCCCGTCCAAGCTGACCCCCATGGGGTTCCCAAGACTCTCTGCCTTGACTCCAGCAGGGCTGTTGGCCACTCAGCTCAAGTTTTAGTCACACCACGCCCCTCTACACCCAGACATCCCACCATCTTCCCAGGAGGGACACTGCCACCAGCAGCAGCGATGACACTCCACAAGGCCCCGAGCTCAGGAACCTGCAAACCTCCCCAGGGTTCTCTCGTGACTGTCGCCACCCTCTCAGGCCAACGTCAGGAACATTTGTTTTGCAGGTAAGAAAACTAGCTAAACTAGAACCAAGATGGCAGCTGATCCCCAGGCTCGGGGCGGGGCAGGACAGCCCGGAGGCACTGGGAAGCCACACAGGGGGCTCTGCCACAGAGGACAAGAGGTTCACAAAGCCCTCTGAGAAGCTTACGGAGGGCCTGCTCCTGTGAAAAGCATACTTGGGCTCCCACTGGATGCCACAGAGCTCAGATTATGGCTTCTGGCCCCTGGATGAAAAGTGGGAAGAAAGGGTCAGGCTGCCCAGAGGTGCTCTTCTAGCCACCCCAGTGACTGCTCTCCGGCTCTGGGCCACAGAGAACACCCCCGTGGATATGAGGGAAAGGGAAGAGGCCCTCACCTGGATGACGACCTTGACAGTGGCCGTGTCCACAGTGGGTGTGCACACCAGGCCCCCGGGGTGCTGGCCATCGGCACTGCGGTTCTGCTGGCCCATGGTGAAGAGCATGGGCACGGCCAGCAGCCCTGAGGCCAGCCAGATGGCACTGATGAACTTCTTGGTGCGGCTGCGGGACATGAGGGTCTTGGCCTTGAAGGGGTGGCAGATGGCCAGGTAGCGCTCCACGCTCAGGCTGGCCACGTTGAGGGCTGTGGCGTAGGTGCAGGCGTCCCGAAGGAAGTAATAGCCTCGGCAGACAGCGTCCCCAAAGGCCCAGGGGTGGTGCACCCAGATGAAGTTGTACAGCTCCACGGGCATGGCGAGCAGCAGGATGAGCAGGTCGGACAGCGCCAGGCTGCCCAGGTGGTAGTGCACTGTGCTCTGCAGGCTCTGCAGCGACTTCTTGCGCGCCAGCGTGAAAGCAGTCACTGAGTTGCCCACCATGCCCACCACAAAGAGCGCCAGATACACGGCGGTCACCAGCACCTTGGAGTAGATGTCGGTGTTCACGTCCAGCTCGCTGCTAGGTGCTTCCAGGATGGGCTCCGATGCGTTGCCGGAGCCGTTAGCGAAGCCCTGGGCCAGGAGCGCAGCCTCCAGCCCAGCTTGTGGTGGTGGGAAAGGCTGGGCGCCCTGCGCCCCAGGGGTGCCAGGCGCAGAGCTATTGAGGCGCATGGTGGGCACCGGGTCCCGGCTTTGTCTCGGTCTCTGGCGCTGGAAATCCGGTGAGGATGGAAGCGCGTCGGGCGGTGGCAGATGAACAGTAGCCGGCGCGGAAGGCGCTGAGGTGAGGGGTGCGCCGTCCAGCCGGGCAGCGCGGGACCGGGACCAGACCGGAATGTGCCGCCTGCCCGCCCGGGAGCGCTCGGGCTCGCTCGCCCGTCTCTGGCCGCTGCTCGCCTTCGGACTCCCAGCTCTGGGTTCCCGGCTTCACACTCGGCGGCTCCACGCTCCCTCTGGGCTCGGCGCTGCCCGCGGTCTCCAGACCTCGTGGTCCCCGGGCTCCAGCTCCAGGCGGGCGGGGAGCAGTGGCGCCGAGTGAGCGGGGCGCACGCACGGCTGCCGGCGCGCTCTCCTCGCCCGCGCTCCCCGCACCGCGGCCCCGCACGCCTCCCACCGCGCCGCGCCCTCCCGGCTCCTCGCGCCTCTCCGAAGCCCGCGGCTGCGCGGCGCGCCCCGCAGTGGGGGCGGCGGAGGGCGCTGTCCCCTCTCCGCCGTCGCCCGCTCCCCCAGGGCCAATGCGGGCCGGGCGAGCGTCCCAGGGAAGAGGTTGCGGGAGGGGTGTGCGGGATGCTGAAATTTTCCACCCCGCACCTGGGCCGGCCTCCTCTCCCCAACTTCTCCCGCCCCCAGGAAGGGAGCTGCTCCGGGTTACGTCCGGCTCATTAGAGGTCTGCGGCTGTAATGGGAAGGCGGGGTCGAGGAAGCTTCGTGCTGGCAGTGCTGGGGCTCCGCACAGCTGGCGGGGCCTCCTCCTCCTGGGTGCCTGGGGGCGCCAGAAGCGAGCGCCCAGGGAGGCTCCAGCACGGGCAAGGCTGGAAGGAGGCCAGTGAGGGGAAGCGGAAGGCAGGCAGACAAAGGGACAGCCCTGCTCCTAGAGGCCCAGCACCAGGGCTGGCACCCTGGGGTGTCTCATGCTGCCTTGGTATGAACGGACTTCCCTGCCCAGCGGCCCCTCCTTACCACCTGGACTGGGTCATCAGCAGTCACTTGCAGAACCTGGGCTTTGGGAGGGACTGGCCAGGCCTACAAGTGAGGGGTGCAGAGGGGAGGAGCTATTGGTCAGTCACACGCTCAGCTCCTTTGGGCTTCTCACAGGGGACCTGCCCTAGCTTGGGCCACTAGAGGATGAGGTCTTGCAGACACCCCTGTCCTCTGACTCGCAGGGCTCCTGCCAAGATAGTTAGACCCCAGCTTGTGTCTGCCTGTGCCAGCTCACGGTCCCACACCGTCCCCTCAGAGACCTCCTCTCCTGCATTCCTGCTGCAGAGTGGACTCTGGGGTGTTCAAGATCAGCAGGAGTAGCTTGGAGGCACAGCCCCAGAAGCCTATCCTGTCCCTGTGTGAACCCCTCGGGCTGCGGTTGCTGTCCTGGGAATAGGAAACCTGGGCAGATGGGGGACGGAAGCGAGAAAATCCCTCCCAGACCTGGGTCCCAGAGACCAGGCCCAAACTGGTCAGTAGGGCCTCGTTCGGGCTAATGAGCTTGGGGCTGTGGGCCCCTATTTATTCTGTTCTCTACCTGTTTGGGGTGGGCCTGGTCACCCAAACTGTGACAGTCTCATCAGGGTTTCTTAGTGCATAAAATCAAGCACTTAACAGTAAGCCTTCAAAGGAACACAAATGGTCCCTTTGCCAGAAGCCAGTGCGGTGGCTCAGAGGCCCACAGGGAAGGTTTGCATTGCGGCCCTTTGCGTTTGGGCCAAGTACCTTTGCTTCTGTGTCTCAGAGGTGATTCTGGTCCCCTGCGGCTGCCTGGCTTCACCAGGAAGGGAAGGTTGTGGCACAGGCTGCAGGCTGTGAGGCAAGGTGCCCAGGTCAGCGCAAGTTAGTGGGCTGGGAAGCTCTGCCAGAGTGGGCTGGGTTTGTTCTGGAAACCACTGCACCTGTGAAAGCAGGCCAGGGTCTGGACCTGTGTGTCCACACCACACCCACTCCTCCCTGGCCTTGTGGTATCTGCAGTCACCGCCACCACCATGGGCTGACTGCCATCTGTCACCTCAGTCAAGAGCCCCCACAGCGGAAGACCTCTGCCAGTGGCCACTGGGGTCGGTCCCCTGTTAGCCAGGGGCTGCAGCTGCCTGGGAGAGGCGGCAGGCAGAAATGTGCTGTCCTGGCTGTTCCGTCTCACTGTTTGGTTTTCAAACTCCTGACCTTTCAGCTAAGCTGGCCTGCTTTTCAAAGATTTCCTTCCGAGGTAGCCTAGGAGCTTAAAAATCATAAATGGCAACTTAATACAAATATTATGATAGGGCATTTGCTTAAAATCACCTAGAAAATGTCACCTGAAGAGCTTTGTTCTGCACACAGTGGGTGCAAGCCTTAGCTGGGGGCTCCCTGGTGACCGCTCCTCCAGGCTATTCCAGAGCCTTCTTCCTGCCTGTACTGAGCCGAAAGGCTCAGCAGCCGGAACCTTTTAATTCCAAGGTGTTTGCTGCTTTCTCTCTTTATTTTCCCAGAAGGGAGCCCTCCCTAAACAGCTCTGTCTCTCTCCTTCCCACTTACTCTCTCTCTCTTCTTCTCCCTTCTCTCACTCTCCCCTCTCTCCCCTTGTTTCTCTCTTTCCCTCCCTCTCTCTTCTCTCTTCCACTGGGGATCAAACCCCAGGCCTTACACAAGCGCTCTACCCACAAGCCACTCGGCCAGCAGTCCCACCTCAAGCTGCCCCACCAGTGAGCTGCACTCAGCCTCCAAAGAGCTGCTTCTTAAGAAAGTACTGGGGAGCTCACCAGAGGGCCAAACGACAGTCTGGCTGCACCCACAATCTCACTGTGGTCAGGGCTGGCCTGACCCCCGCGCTGATACACCGAACCCCAGTACAGCCTCGGGGAGGCAGAGCTCTGCCATGTGACTGTTTCACTGTGAGCTGCTCCAGACCTGCTGGAGAGCCGGGGGGCCCCTACCCTGGACCCCAACACTTCACATACGTGCATCCAGCCATGGAGTCTGTGTTTCCTGGATGCATCTACATGTGGGGACAATTTTAACTTTCTGTGGTTCCCTGTGTGACGCAGGCAGGACGGAGTCTGCCCATTCCTGTGTGTGTGAGTATCCATGCCCAGGTGAGAGTCTTGTCCCAAAAGCCACCGAATGACCGGTCCCTCGGTGGGTGCTCCCCAGAGCTGGGTCCTTGCTTGCTCTGCTTGCTCTCCCTTCCCATCTCTCCAGTGCTGCCCAGGCCAATCGGTGTCCACCTCCTCACTGTGTCCAGGGAGGCTCCCACATGCGAGGGAGCCCGCGTCTCTTCAGCCCCTGCACCTGCTCAGGAAGCTTCCCAGCCCACTAACTTGCGCTGACCTGGGCACCTTGCCTCACAGCCTGCAGCCTGTGCCACAACCTTCCCTTCCTGGTGAAGCCAGGCAGCCGCAGGGGACCAGAATCACCTCTGAGACACAGAAGCAAAGGTACTGGCCCAAACGCAAAGGGCCGCAATGCAAACCTTCCCTGTTGGCCTCTGAGCCACCGCACTGGCTTCTGGCAAAGGGACCATTTGTGTTCCTTTGAAGGCTTACTGTTAAGTGCTTGACTACACCGAAAAGATTAAGCTCTTGTGAGCTTAATGCCTTTGTCAGTTACCCACTCCTGTGTAACAAAACACTGACAACTTAGTGGCTCAAAACTACACACTGCTATTACTGTTGTTATTTTCCTGTAAGGCCACAGCTAGGTGGGGAATGTAAATGTACACGAGACGCTGAGAACATGTGATTTGCATGATCTGTAGAGTTGAGCTGTAGATGTTCCCTCCCACAGCATGGAAATTGCGCACGTTCCAGGACCTACTGCGTTCCAAGGAGGAATCTTAAAAATAGAGCAGCACATGTGCCCGTGTGAGAGGCAGGGTCCCTCCCGCCCGTTCCGGCTGTGCTCACAGCATCTCTGGGCTGCTGGCAGCACCCAGCGCTCAAGCTCCAAGCCCACCGAGCGTGTGTGTAGCAGCACCCTTGTCTCTCGCCACCCCCGCCTCAGCCCTCTGATGATTCGGGAAACGTGAGCTGTGTCCTGGTGAGAAACCCAGGAGAGGGTTGCGGTGGCTGCTGAGTACACTTGAAGACCACAAGGGACAAAGGACTGCTGGGTGCAGCATGCAAAGGGCCCTGGGAGCTGCAGGGCTGGGGTAGGAAGGACCTTGAATTAGAGTTCCACCATGTGCGGACAGTGGGCTCCTGCAAGTCAGCTGGCCTCAGTTTCGCTGTCTGTAGGGTGCAGATGGCGTGGTCCTCACCCCACTGGCTGCTGAGAGAATCATACAGCCCCTGCCTGGCTGTCATTTCACAGTGCCGGTGTTAACTGCAACGGGTCACTTATCCTGCACCCATGGTGCATGCAGACCAGGCAGAGAGCCTTACCGCCTCCTGTCTGGCTTGCCAAAATACGTTCCCATGTTTGGGTCCTGGGATCTCCTTCCAGAAGTGTCTTTTGGGTTCTTTTCATCCCAAACAAAGAATTGGACCAGACAAGCAAAATATGTAGGTAGATTTTTACATTTATTAATGGTAGAAAATAAACAACCTCTGCAGAGTAAGTGTGGGCCAGTTACAAGTAAAAAAGAAGTGCACTCGGCTAGGTGACAGTGGACCCCGGTGCAAAACAGAGCACAGTGGCAAGGGGCTCCATGATGGCCATCTTCTGTGTGTCCCACTCCCCAGGCTGATGTCAGATCTAGGCTGTCCTATCAGAAACCTGCTTGAGTTCTTGTGAGAACAACTGAAGATCACACTTTCTGATTGTTCCAGGTGGAGCAATTGAGCATACGTCTCCTGGATCTCCATGACTGACAGGTCTTACTGACTTGTCCAGCCAGTTTGCCATGCCCTAATCTCCTTCCTTAAGGGGAGAGAGCCTTCTGTTGTCTTTTCCAGATCCTAGGGGCTCTGGCTGTCCTCCCACAACAGCTTCTGGGGGCTTTCTCATACTGCCATCTAATATTCCAATAACCACGCACATCAGGTACTGCTAGCACCCCCATTTTACAGATGAGGGAACCAAAGGGCAGGCGCACCTAAGGTCCATCTCTTTGGAGGTGGCAGTGTCTGTGCCAGACTCCAGATCCTTCACCTCTGCCTAGCTGGGTGGAGCAGATTCACTCATGACAGAAACAACCCTAGGCAGGAGTTGAGGGTATGAAGAGCTCCAGCCAGGGGGACAGCGCCCCCTGCATCTGAGCAGAAAAAAATGCAGGGGACACTCCCCACTCCCCACTTCCCACCCTGGGCATGAATTTTTCCACAGAGCAGATCCTGAGCAATGGGGAGAGGGAGCCAGGCATCTTGAAGGGGTCTGTGAGCAGGAGCAGGCGGCAACTGAATCCCTGGGCCTGGGAGCCCAACACACGGCCACCTGCATGCACACACGCATGCACGCACGCACAC